TTTTTTAAACGTGGAAGCTTATCAGCTGTTTGGTGTAACTGGGGGAATGTGAATGATAACGACTTTCAGCGAACGGAACGTTACAGGGACCAGTCGATGGGGTCACCAATACAATAAAGTCAGACAGCCATTCGATCCAAATTCTGATATAGTGCGGAGGTTAGGAGGGCGGGTTACAAACTTCCAAATGGGACCGACCATGTTCTACATCAGTGGTAACAAAAATATCATCAACAAGTCGCTCGTACAACAAAAAAGTTCGGAGGCCGTTTTTGTCCGCGCATTCCACCTGAAAATCTTTGCTAACGATGAATCCAAACGACTGCTCACAACACCTCCATCGACTTGTTTATGTTTGTCGCTTGAACTACAGTTCAGAATTGTTTATACAAGTTAAAATCAGACCCGTAATTTGGTTGGTAAGGAGTCCTAGGTTCATACATGCCGGAGGGTAAAAGCGTACGACCAATCATTCGTGTTGCTTCAAGTGTTCCCAGTTTTTTCTCACTATGAACTGCCTTCGTCAGAGTCATTTGTATAGCCGTCGCATTGTGAACACTGTTTTTTCCAATTGCTTTGTTGTCATTTAAATAAATTTGAGATAGGGGGTCTGAAACGGATGAACTTTGTAAAGTCCTCAGATTGTTTTTATTTGCCGGTGTTCCTTCAGCTGATAGAATTACACAAATTCACAAACCTGACTAAAACGTTGGCTAAGTGAAACGAGCCAATAATAAACCTTGCAGGTTTTAGCACGCAAACCTTTCACTGTAGCTATTTTTACCGATACCTCTGTCTTTATTGCCGTCGACATAGTTTTTCTTGTTGATTTTTCATGTTAGACTCTCTTTCAGTGGAAACAGAGTCCTTATAATCATCATAATCATCATCATCACGATCATCACGATCATCATCATCGTTATCATCATCATCGTCATCATCATCATCATCACTGTCATCCTCATCATCCTCATCATCATCATCATCGTTGGCACCATCGTCTTCTTTTAACTGTAATCAAAAGTCGGTAGCTGACACCTTTGACACGTGAATCCAAGGATGCCAGTCAGCTGTTAGTGAGATGACCCGGAGTGAAATCAATCTATTCTAAGTGATGAATTGGATTCTTGCGCGGCATCGAGTGCGAGATCGGCCATATCTCGTCTCGGGAAACCTCTCCAGGTAGTCCTCAATGACACCGACGAATTACCTCTTAATGTTTGCTTTACACTCTCTGTGATAACATGTTTTTCATGCGCTACCGCTTACATTCCTGGCTGCATTAGAAAGAGAGTAGCTCAATTGATATCTGGTTTCTTCCAAAGGATTCCACACTAGCTGGTGGGAAGCAGTCTACCAGAATGTCAGCTCACGTGATTGAGACGTTTAACAAAAGGCTCCTAAAGGCAAATACATTAATTTTTCTCCCAACATGAGGCGGCCTGGTGCAGCACATTCTGTTGCCTGGATGAATTTATACAGCAATAACTTCTCAGCCATAAAGTGGGGAGTACGATACCAAATTTGTACCAAATCGATTTGCAAATGAGCGTATTTCTCGAAAACAGTTCAATTTGGGTTCAAGTAGAACATAAGATTGACGGAAACTGGGGGTCTGCGCCTACCTGATGACCCCCAAGATGGGCAAAGTCGATCGTGGGCTATCGAGGAGTTTTCAGCAACCTTATGATTAGTACATTACAAAAAAAACATGTTTTTACTTTTTCTGGGTTACCTTTGGCTAGTCATCCTACCAGAATGCTTGTAATGTTTAGTTGAATAGTCAGACTCTGTTATGAAAAAGTTTTCATGTTTGTATGGCTGAACTACGCACGCACAGAGTTCTGTTATCGAAATCGACCCACAACAAGAATGGTACGGATATCTCGAAAAACTTTGGTGGCTGGAACATGTGAAACGAATTCCTAGAACGGCAGAGCGGAATAGCATAGTTTTTTGGTGTCTTGATTACGCACATATTTGAAAGCCTGAGGGTTCACAAGGTGTAGAACAGGCAGAAATGTCAAATTGTCATCTTCTCGCTGTTTAGGTGTTGAGTAAAACTCATAACAACCTTGAAAGTCCTTCTACAGGGAATCCCTTTGTAGTACAAAGCTGTTGTATAGTTTTGGACCAGCGGAAAATCACAGGCTGGATAAAAGAATAACAATGCGTTTTAGAAAGACCGCCGTTTTCCTCACTTGAAAACCAAATCTTACGTACGTTGTCAACTAGACTTACTCATCAAAGAAACTGGTATTAACAAAACATTTAGGTAAAATTCAGCTAAAACCCCGTTTTTACGCTTCTTTCTCCGTAATGTTTTAGCATTAGAGACAAAAAATATTCAGTGAGTAACTCAGCAAGATTTTCAATTGTCCCCATTCTATTGTACAACCGCTTTGTTACTTTTGACACATTTAGACATGTTATACAACTATATTACGTTTCGTTAAATGTACTATATGACGTTATATTATGTTGATAAAACCATATTATATTTATTTCAATGTTTTATCACAATAATATTGCATATAATATAATAAATCGTATTTTATTATAATTATATTATGGCATATTTTTTAAAATTATATTACGTTATCCTATACCAAATTATACTATAATAGTATAAGGTAGCATTTCACGCTTTTGCTCGCTGTTTAAGTGCGACATGCAGGGTTCCTTTTTTGAGTTTCAGTATAAAGAAGGACACATTTTGGAGGCGTAAAACAACGTCTTGGCTTGCATGACTCCATTACATCAAGAAGGCACATAATTTAAGATCCCGGATTTTGACAAAAGTTTAAATAACCGCCCCGTATGCAAAACATAGTTGCTGAAAATGTTTACGGCTTGTCTCCACCCCGAAGAAGACAACAAAAACAGTGGTAGATTATACCTAACATATCGTTCAGCTGTAGCACCCTTTCGGCGCCAAACCGCCATGCCACCCGAAGGTTGCACGAGGGCTGGGTTATTGCCAAGTTGCTCAAGCCTAGACAGGAGAAGTCAGGAGGCACAGGTCGGTTTCGAACCACGAATCTTTTTTGTCAGTAAATTCGCGCTCTGACCACTTGGGCTATCTCGCCCTATGCAATATATATATATATATATATATATATGGGGACTGCTCTTATCTGATGAGCCCCAAGAAGAGTGAGACTGGTCGTGGGCTGTCGAAGAGTTTCCAGCAAACTTGTGAGTAGTTTTTTTTATGAGTAAATATGCAAGTTCTTTTCAGTCTCCGGAAGAATATCGATCTCAGTGACTCCTGAATTGTCCCGTCCATTTGCGGGTAAACATAAATAAATAGATGCTTATTCTGGTCACGCGTTATTGTCATATCAGGTGATAAACTAATAAATGACCTGAAGAACGACCGCCTGTTGTGGATGAAGCCTGTAAACAAATTCATAAGCTGGTAATTACTTGGGGCTGTAAGCACGAAATAAGATGTTTTGTTAGACGACGTGTGGACTAGAGGCACCGATTTTCGAATACCGGACGGTTGGTTTACCGCGTGGACTAGCAAGGACGTTTGTTTCACATTACATTTCTCGAATGGAATAAGACTTGTGACTTCCATACTAAGCCACATGTTTTCATCAACCAAAAACAAAAACAGCACAGTTTTAATTGATCTGAACTAAAATGGAATGCGGGAAGTTGTGAATCGAGGGGTGTATCCGGGAGCAAACTCCGGTCACCAATGTACGTGAGAGGTTCTAGGTAGTCAGTGTACTGGAATGCAAGCGTCCTACTTAATTCAGTCGGTAAAGTACCCCTCCGATAGGCAATTGCTGCGCACGCCCTTCGGCTTTCCTTTTGTTTAAATTTCACGCATACGGAGGTTTTCTTTCGGATTTTAAAGAGATCTGTTGCAGTTCATGTCAAATCTTGACCTCCCGAAATGTTCGCAGATTAGCAATCCGTCCTGCATATATGCAGGCATTGAAATGCGCTTAAATTCCGATGAACCGATCAACAGGTTAAACACATTTGAGTTTATTTTATAAAGAATGCAATTTTCAAATACACTCAACGAGGGAATCACAGTAGGCACATTCTTCCGGGGAATGGTAAAAGAAGCAAATTGCAACGTGATGAAGCTTTTAACCAAAATAAAAATCTAATTTCCAGGTTAATGACTCTTTAATATTGAATAAATGCCCACACACCCATCCCCAACACTGTGTTTGTAAACGTTCTATGCGTCCCTCAAACTTCCGTCAAGTGACTTGGCCAGCGCGCTTTGCCGTTCAGGCAAGTTTGATTATCACTTGTTCAAACAAAGGCGTTTGCGATTTGTGTGTGCCGACTTACCTGCTTATTCCAAAGTTAATCCGCAGTGAAAATTTCTAATTTCCCAGTCAAAAAGACATGACTAGTACAGATCACACTTAGTTTCTGTCCGATATGGACTTGTGTAAATGACGAAGGTGTTCAAACTTCATAAAGCAAACTACTCACAAGTTTGCTGAAAACTCCTCGACAGCCTACGACCAATTTCACCCTTCTTGAGGCTCATCAGGTAGGCGCAGTCTTCGAGTTCCCGCCACCCTTATGATCTACTCGAACCCAAATTGGACTGTTTCCGAAAAACACACTCATTTGCGAATCATGCCAACTGAAACATGCGGCGGCCTGTGTGCAGCACATTCAGTTGTAGAATATCATAAACGAGAGAGTCAGTTAAGCCTTTCGTGAAAACCAGACTGATTTGCAAATGAGTGTATTTTTCGAGTTCAAATCTCCTTGCCCGGTTCATTATCACCCGAATGATGAAAAAGGGCCACTTGTATTCCACAGTAGAAATTACGTTTGTCGAGCTCGTTCGAGACAGGGTTGTATTCGTTCAGATGCAGTTGCCCTAAGCTGAAATTGCTCAGCTGTGAATGATCAACTCTTCTATTCTCGTTCATGCTTGAGATATCTTGTACGTGTTCTTTTTTAAAGAGATTATTAAGCAAAATTGAAAAAAAATAGGTGAACGATTCATTGGCGAACGCAAGAAATTTGTGCACACAGGGGAGAAAAATATTTTCAAGCCACTTGACCCAAATCATTCAGATTCTTGTTTCACTTGAGTAGGAAAGTCCACATTTTGGACAACAAACACAGGTTTATCTGTCTGATTCTGTTCGAACCACCTTGGTGTTTACAAATCACATGGTATTTTCGTGGTACACACACTGTGAACGATATTGCACAGAAATGCCGGCTAACCAGATGCGTTCGTGTTTACTTCAGAGCAGGTGATGTGTCACGTGCTGCTGTCCTACTTGATTCTGAGGGTGATATCATTTGTGCTCTTGAATTCCTTTAGTTGGAAGGAATCCCGAACGATCCACGTGGTCCTGTTTTCATTTTACAAAGGGAAACACTACAGTTAAAGAAAAGTGTGACCCCGCGGACCTATCATTTGAGTCATTCAGGTGACTCGCGGTCACCGTTGGAGTGATTGGAGCCAAGGAAGTTTATCCGACTAAACTGAATAAACAAGCACACGTAGTGCAGGTGTTTTATTAAAGAATTAACCACAGTTTGGTTAATCGATAAAGTGATGAAGTTGATGTGCAATCAGCTGAATTATATTTTTGTTCATTTACACAGAAACCGTATACAGATATTGGTAACATATTACTCACTAGGTTGCTGAAAACTCCTCAGCAGCCCACGAGCGGTTTCTCCCTTCAAGGGGTTGATCAAGGAGGCGCACTCCCCGAGTCTCCGTTCTACTTGAACGCTAATTGGATAAATTATGACGAACACTAGCGAATATACACTCATCTGCAAACTAATTTGGTTGTTTCGAGAGACTCACCTGGAACCCAGCTGAATCTCTCGTTTATGATGTTCTCAGGCATTACAGTACATTACAAATATGACGAACACTCTTATTTGCACTTGGTTCTGACGGGAAGCATGGCTAAATCCAGTTAGGTCTTTGATTTGTGGTGGCCCACTTCACACTCAGCTACACTGAGCAGACCCAAACCATATTTCAACAAGCACAACTGAATGAGTGAATTATTGAATGTGTTAATGTGGGGGAGAACTGGATATTTTAGTCTTGCCAAGCAGCGCCGTACAGTTGTTTCATCCATCTCATGCAATGCAACTGTCGTGAGTTTCTGGAGGGATGAGAACTCAAAATCTTTCGGGCGAGTAGTTCGAGACCACGTGACTCAGGCACCACCGGCTAATTATTGGTGTAATTAACTAGCAGTTAGACAGGATGCAACGCAGCTCACAATGTGACCGCGGGATTCACTTCATTTGGTGTCGTGTTAACTGTCTCCCTCACTTACAACTTAATATCACTTGGACAGATCGGCGGTGCGAAAAATCCACCGGCCTGAATTGGTAGACTGTAGTCATACATACAATGGCGGTTGTATTCTTACTATCTAGTGGCGTCTGATGACTACGCTGGAATTTTTTCTGATCCGTAATAGATAAGTCAACTTATCTTTCAAGTCACAAACCTCCTACCGGGATAAAATTTGTCCCGCCGGCGCCATTGACACGCAATACTATCTTTGTCAAACCGTTCCGTCAAAGACGTTGGATTCAGTCGTAAATAACTATCAGTTTCGATTACTTTATGAAGTTGGGATACGGATCGATGTATTGGTCGACTGTGAACAAGAAGAGAGAACTACAGCAAGTACTCAGATTTTGCGTAACAGTCCGAACTGCCTAATGTCCTGTTATCCACACTTAAAGACGATGCGCAGTACCCGGGGAAACTATACTAGCCAAATGGAAGTTTTTGAAAACACCTCATGCGTACACTAAACTCTTTCAAGTGACAGATGTCCAGGCTAGGTGGTTTGAAGATAACGAGTCTAAGAAAAGAAACCGAAACTCCGTCGAATTGTTAAAAATTATAGTGCTTAAAATTAGAACCAAACTATACTGGCAGATAAATCAGTAATGCCCATGAAAGTACGCTTGATGAAGTTCTTTGGTCGTATGTCCTCGCCTTTACACAAAAGTGTCTCAAAAAATTAGAAATATTTGCTTGTCTATCTATCAGACAAATGCCCTCAACACCCCCGCCGATAAAGATCACAACGCCAACTTAGGGTGCCGGGAAGCCTTGCGGTCAATGACGTGTATGCAGCGGACTAACGTTATTACAGCCACGTTTATTAAAAATACTGGCAAAGACATGGTCGGTGCGGCGGCCCATCAGTACCCCCAAGGAGCCATCAAGATTACTCTTCCGAACGGCCCCACTTGTCACGGGGTCCGACAATCAGTCGCCATTAGGTACCGGTAAGTCTCTAAGGAACGACCCATTTATGGCACTAAAGTAACCTTTCCCTTGTGCACGGTTTCTCATTGACAACGTATTGTGAAGCACTCACTTGGGAAACAAACTGTACATTTTGTTCTTAGTCGCACCACTCTCGTTTGAACGGTCGTCCTCCTGTTCTGGCGTAATTATTCCTGTGAGTCCACACCAAAGAGAAGCACTGGACTCGAGTTTCACTCTTATTAGAGCGCTTGTCACCCTACCTGACTGGGAAGTCCTAACTAGCGGGTCAATCGATCGCACAACCAGAGCAATTACTGGGTCGTCATCCAATGATGAGTCGGGCACACCAATCACGTCACTCAAGCGTGAACACGTTCAGACGTGATAATTCAGATGCGTCCAACGTGCGTTGGTGGAGTAGTGCTTACACGCTCGCCTCGCATGTCAGATGTCCGGGGTTCAAATCCCGTCAAGGCCATTGGATATGCACTGCTGATGAGCTCTGATAAGAGCTCTAATAAGTGCTTCCCCTCTTTGGTGAGGACTCACTGGAATAATTACGCCAAACAAGAGGACGGCTGTTCAGAGGAGTGCGGCATGTGAACAAAATACCTGTCCCGCCAAACCCAAAATTTGTACATCTATTACGTGGATATTCTGCTACATATAAGAATTTCAATGTTTCTGCCATTGATTCTGTGAGTGTCAATCAATCAGAAATTGAGATATTCTCTTCTGGGTAGAATACTCACAAGTTACAAATGACATGCGATGGCGCACTTGAAAGTTCATGTGACATTCTACGAAGGGTTGACTTCCTCTGACAGTAGTTTGCATAGCTCACCAATTTTCAGATGTCACCTTTCTGGAAAGACCTGGTTCTTGAAGAACGTGCAACAAGTTCTGCTTTGCAAGTCATGTTGCCGTGAGGGGACGTCGAACTCGTTGGTTGCGAAATGCTAACTTTGCACTGACGAGACCCGAAGTGAGTCGTCATTGGCCATCTTTTTAAATCGGCAACCGGCTTGAAAATACTACGCTTATAATACCCGGAGTGATATTTTCTTATCCTAGCAAAATCCGCGCATATTGGTCGCTCTGCTGCTGTAAGTTAAGCGCCTTTAGTTGTTTCAAACTGTTTTTCAGTGAGGTGTGTGAGTAAAACAACTGAATGTCATTACAAGCTAGGAAACCGTGGTCCACAAATTTCGGTGGTTGAGCTGAGCGTAAGCTTGTCGCCGTTCGCCCGTCCTAATGCTTCACTGGATGTTAATTCGTGGAAAAAACCAATAATGTCAAACTATGCAAACATGGCATAATTTTTTTTCGAATGTCCGGTGAATTTAGCCACTTGGCTGATTATTGATTTTGAGACTTTTGATGCCTCACGTGCAATCTCCCGTGATCGAAAATTGCCTGAGTTACGAAACATTGACAATCTAACGGGGTCTCACATCCCTGGTAAGCCGTCTTCGAAAGTGGTTTGCTTCGAGTTTTCCAGTGCCTGCCATTCTGGCTACCATTTTTACGCAATCAGATGAAATATTAGGCGTTCCTATGTCCCAAAACAAAACTGAGATTCCGTTGGCGTATTACCACACCACAGTTAATTGCAAACAGTTGGCCAGTTGTCTCAACATTTGTCTTCGGTTGTGCCACTCTGTGATTTTATTTCCTCCCAAAAGCAAAATCCTATCGGAACGGAAGTCAAACTGAGTTTGAGTAGTAAACCTAACTATTCAAAAGAGACATCAACCGCCTGAATGTAATATAATTCCTAGCACCACGCTGCTGCAGGGCCTCCCACGAGAGCATAAATCTCGGAGGCGAGATGACCCAAGTGGTTGGAGCGCGAATTCACTGACCGGAGAGTCCATGGTTCGAACCCGATCTCTGTCTCTCGACTTCCCCTGTCTAGGCTTGGGCAACCTGGCAACATCTCAGCCCTCATGCTTCCTTCGGGTGGCATGGCAGATAGGCACCGGAAGGGTGTTGCAGCTGAACAGCATGGCACTTGACTGTCTATGCAACACGCTAGTGTTGAGCTATGGGCCAACATAATGTACTTCCAGAGTGGTCGCGGAAGGGGTCATGATCATCAAACTTTCTGAATTGCTGCAGCGTAGGATCCACTTTCATTCAGAAGAAATACTTTCTTTGTAAGCTTTCCTTCTCCCCTAGTAATTGATTCCATATTTGGAAATCGTTCGCGGTGGAGTACGTTGGACCGGCCATCTCAAGTGACGTTAGAATGATTTCACTTTCATCAAAGTCCAAGAACTTGCACTTTGCACCCTTACGTTCAGATTTTTACAAGCATCCCATAAAAACATCCCCAAAGTGTCTCAATCTGTGCATCATCTCACGACAAAGTTACCGTTTATTCGTTATGTCTGGCTCCTAAATAAAGAAGTTTTCTTTCCTTTGCGACCCTCATCACGTGCCATGAAACATCAGTTGATGAAGTTTGTGGCCAGTAAGCACAAGGCTAACCAAAAACTTTCTCTGGGGACCTGATCAAATGTCTCATATCCAACCCACCCTCTTTTTTTATAGAAAATTCCAAATTCCAAATATCTGTAGTCCCATTGCGACACCTGGTTAGTTACTTGTTCGTCCAGCTGAGCAATATGATTTCAGACGTCTAACCTCTACTCAAGGTGGCCACCATTGGACTGTCAGGGAGTCGACTGGGGCGTAGCGGCGCTTTGTTAGTGTTATATCTGCTGATTCGCCAATCTGAGGTATCTGCTGCTGACCCGCTCCAGTGCCTAGTTGCCGACACAAGACTCACAGAAGGGAACACAACAGCTATATTCCGAACAAGCGAGTGCGAGGGCGTGAGTGCGTGCGAGTGCGAAAAGTACAACGATCTCAAGCTATTTATTGGAAAGACGCTATGTAAACTTAGTCCAATTGTGACGCACACGGTCTTCCTTTGATGTGAGGCTGTGGCGTGCTACATATTACGGGAGCGTTGTCTGACCTTGATCAACGCTGACTGGCGCTGTCTGGGTTTGATACAAGGTTGTGACGCGCTGCATATTGAGGGGGCGTTGTCTGTCTGGTCAACATCTAGCGGAGCTGAGAGTCTCGGTAGATTTCGAGCATTCAGTGGTTGCTTTCAGGAGGTTGGCCTTCCTGATAGTTATTATTGCATCAGGGAATTCAGCTCTTTGCTTGGTAATTTCTCTCTATATATGTATCACTAAATTTACGCGCCCCCTTTTCTTACTCCGCATTCACCGCAGGTTGCATACGACATTTTGTGATCTGAGTCCGAAGGTGGGCTGTCTCACCTCGTTGTTTCACAGATGGATACACATCCCATTCGGAGAAAGCAAAGTAAAAATTTTGCATTTAGGGTGAGCTTAACAGCAGAGGACAGTTGGTGTTCAGTTCCGCCAAGGATCACCGGAAAGTGTTGTTTTGTCAAACTACACTACGTAACCAATCAACCCTAATTATCTTGCCACAGTCGGCTGTGTAGGCAGTAATATGAAAAACTGCTATGTGGGACTACTTGCATACCAGATGTTTCCGCGTTTATCGCCTTGTTCGATCAATATCCTTATCTGGAATGGCAGCCCATGATCCATGTGAAAAAATCCAACATCGGTGAACTTCTGGGCGTCTTATCATGACAGTTTCCACTTTCAAAGGTAACCGACAGTAAGTTTAAACAATCACATAGCCCCTAGTTCCCGGTTTCAGAACGGCACCAATCAATCGGTTTTGGAATCTATCGTCCTACATCGAAATACCACCTAAGTCATCAAACTTGTTTCCGTAATTCAAGAGGTCCCGTTATCGGTCCACGGTCCCAAAAACGTCATTTGTCTTGGTCCAAATTGTGTTACAAGATCTCCTCTAATAGCGAGACAAATGATTCTGGTCCAGTGAGTTAGTAGAACAGGTAGACTTTCCTGTTTTCTGCTATTTGTTAAACCACCATATTGAACTCACGAAAAGTACAAAATTTCACCTCATTACCAAAGTTACTAATTGGTTCATGAATTTTTTGCAAAGAGGAAGAAACAAATAGGAATTTCCTGTAATAAACAAGAGAGAAAGAGCGTGTCTGACTGGTAAGATCATTTTCCCGCGAGAATATTGTTTCACCGTGATGTGACCGATAAGTCAAGACATACTAAAGCGTACCGATGTAACAGATCAGCTGATTTTGTCACGAGTTAGTCGGAAAGTTAGGATAAAATGTTTAGTATTCCTGTAACAAACTTTGTCAGCAATGTTCAACATGATATGCGATGCGGAAAGCATTTGTCTGCTAATTCCCAGTACACACAGCCTAAATGAAAGGGTTAGCAGTCTGTCAGGAAGAGGCCAAGAGTATCCGAAATTTTACTGCTGATAGATTAGCTTGTGTTCACGTGACTTTGAAGCTCTCAGATAATAGTGGCAAAGATGTATGTTAGGCAGTGGCTTTGACTAAATGATGATCGATTGGTTTGGTAGAGCCATCTTATTCACAAAAAAACATCTTGGAGCATCAATACCTACTCAAAATGATCGGGTCCCAGTGTAAACTTCACGCAAATACTGCTGCTCGAGTGTGACTGCAAGTGACGGAAAAGTTAAGTGCTCAAATCGTTAGTTGGAAAGTTTAGCTTCTGAGATTCCTTGAAGTTCCATGGGATGCGCGTTGGGGATAATTCTCGGTAAGAGTGGAACAGCTGTACAGTGCTTTCCGGCTTTTCAGCATGGACTGGCCTCACCAAGAGGGTAAACTTTTCACTAGAATTCTCAAACTTCCTAAAATTTCCAACGAAAAGCTTGTCCGCTGATGGCGCGGAAATCTCGGATCAACAATAGCAGCTTAGTGTGTTCGTAACTTTATCAACCTCCTTGACTTTTGGCGATCCAAAAATAACCAAAGTACCAATACATGAGTGTTGCTATCAGAAACATGATGAGAGAAAAGATAGGGTAAGTAGTGCTTTATAAGTGTGTTCATAGCAAACATAATTTTACCCTCTTCAGCGAAAGTTAGTAGAGTTTACATTGCAAACATTTTGATTGCTTACAATCCTGGGGAACATCACGTTTGTTATTCAGACGCCTGCAAGAAAAGTCAACAACTTGTGTGGTGGGAAGCACTTGCCTAGCCCTTCAAAGACCACATTCAAGAGCCAATCGATTACCAACTTGATCATTGTGAAGCAAAAATGCCGCTCCAATGGCTGAGAAGTTAAACTGGACCAAGCGTTCGTGAAACAAAGGTGGACTTTGAAAAGCACACTTAACGGAATCGTAAGATTTCTAAGAGTCGAATTCGAACACCTTTGAATATCATTCCAACAGAGGCTTTCCTCTTTTGACATTCGTCATTGAAATGGTTAAAGCAACGAATGTTTCGTCACCAGT